TATGAAATTTTCAGTAAATGTACTTATTACTATGTATAGGCGCACTAAGAAAGGATTTTTCGAAATTCGCATTTTAAAGGGTAAAAAGAGCATAAAATAGTTAATTTTTAATTTACGGTGGGTGAGGTTCGCGGTACGGCAGCCGTCGACGCGCGATGGCTAGACGTGGCCGCTCAAATTTCCCCTTCCGTGTCACCGCCGCCGACACCGCGCACCGCCGCGCCACCGACCTGCTTAATACCGAACCATAATCGACGACGCATACAGGCTTTTCCAACAGGAGTAGAAGTGGGGGTAGGCATGCTGTCGTACGCTCGCACCACTGACCACACACGCGTAGCGTTTATATTTCATTTGTATGACGACACTCACGGCTTGCGAACTGTTTTACGTGTACTTCCAAATGTATACTATAGTAAATAAACACGTACACTTATTAAGTGTCAAGTGTCAAGTGTTTTACTTATTATTGTAGTATTCGACACATGCTGTGAAGTTATGTCTTTAGCGTTTACGCATAGGTGTTTTACTTATTATTAACGCGTCTTCGTATACGCACACTTACCTACATACTTCATGAACGGTTTTTTCTACATATTGAAATGTATTAAAATAACATAAAGTCGTGAAATATCCTACGCGTTTACGCAAGGTGTTTTACTTATTATTTTCGAATATTACTGNGTCATCGTATACGCATCCCAGTTTATGTACGGTTCTTTCTAAACATTGAAGTGTATTAAAATAAAATTTTTTACATTCTTACAAATTAATAAAAAAAAAAATATATATGGTTGTCGAATTATTGAACATAAATGGCACAGTGATGCCCCACACTATCATTCCAATTATTGGTGACGGAGCTTGCCTGTTTAGGGCAATATCTTTTGTGTTATATGACACTCAAGATAAGGCCCAAGAAGTACGTAAAAATATAGTAACCTATGTGATAAATCATTCGGAAGATTATTCAATAATGTCACATGATAGTGATGGAAATAATTATGGTAGTTCTGCTGACTACTTTACTGATATGTTAAAATTTAATACTTATGGAGGTTTATGTGAGCTGGTGGCAGCCGAACAATTATTTTTGGTATTTATTGAGGTGTAGTCGGGGAATATCAAAGCGGCTTTAGAAAAGGTAAATCGACATTGGACAATATTTTTATTCTGAGACAGATAATGGCTAAGTTTTATGAATTTGATAAAGAACTGCACCTTATATTCATAAGCAAGCTTATGATAGCATTGATAGAGACAAACTATGGAAAGCACTGGAAGTACTAGGCATTCCTAAAAAATACGTAAGTCTTATAAAAGGATGTAATAATAGAACTGTGTGCAGAGTGCGTTTACTGCAAGAAATGTCTGAAACCTTTGAGGTAAAATCAGGCCTTAGACAAGAAGATGCTCTATCACCCACCTTGTTTAATCTAGCATTAGAAAAAGCAATGAGAGAAGCATGGGACGGTCGAAAAATGGAAGTATGTGGGGAACGAGTAATATTGGCATACGCAGATGACATTGTAATAATGGGAGAAACTAGAGATGAAGTCATAAATACTGCGTCCAAACTCTTGAAAGCAAGTAAAATCATAGGGCTGCGTGTAAATGAGGAAAAGACGAAATACTTAATGGTAGCAAGAAGAAGCCCAAACATAGACCACATAACAGTAGATGACTATATTTTCAAGAAAGTGGAGGTATTTAAGTACCTAGGTGTTAACTTAAATAGCAACAACGACATGCATGAAGAAATCAATGATCGAATAGCATGCGGCAACCGATGTTACTATAGTATAAGGAGACTCCTTAAATCAAAACTACTGTCACATAACTCAAAGACACTACTGTATCATAGCTATTTACGACCAATAATCACATACGTGAGTGAAACATGGTCACTGACCAAAGGAGACAGCAAACGATTAATGACCTTTGAAAGAAAGGTACTGAGAAAGATATACGGCCCGAAATTGAATGCAGAATCACAAACTTACGAAAGAAGGAAAAATCAAGAACTACAGGAGTTATATAACAGGCCAAATATTATTTCATATATAAAAAGCAAGCGACTAGAATGGTTCGGCCATGTTTGGAGAGCGAAT